TTGAATCCCCAGAAGATGGAGCTGTTGTGTGTGTGTGGGACACACAATTGGATGCCATATTGGGGGATAACTTGCCTAGTCTAGGTTGGGTTACACTCCCTCTAAAACACCAGGTTCACAAGTTGGATGCAATTTGGATCCAGCACTGTCAATGGAACGTAATACATGTTCCCTTCAAATTTTGGCCATGATCAAGACCACCTTTTTTCATCTTAGGCAGATTGTCCAGTTGTGCCCCTGCCTGACTGAGAGATCAAGACTTTGATCCATGGATTGGAAATCTTGAGAATTGACTGCAGCAATGCTCTCTATGTGGGGCTTCCCTTAAAGATGATACACAGGGTGTAATAGGACCAGAATGCAGCAGCCAGGTTAATCTCTGGGGCTTGGAGGTTTGCTAATGTCTCCTATATCCTGACCAGCCTGCACTGGCTCCCTGTTAGCTTTTGTGACAGATTTAAGGTTTTAGTTTAACTTATAATGTATAAAACCCTTCATGGTTTGGGACCTCAGTACCTATTGGAGCACTTCTCTTGAAGAACATCAGCCCCTTCAATCCGTTCTTCCCAGACCTTATTATTGAGGGTACTTACCCTGAAGGAAATAAAACCAATATTAGGAATTGGGCATTTTCAGCAATGGCAATCTCCTTGTGGAACAAACGTCTATTAGAAATCAGGTTTTTAGAAGACTATTGAAGACAAGATTGTTTAGGGAGGCCTTTGGCAACATTTTATGCTAATTTTTCAGAACTGTTTATTTGTGGTACTCTTTATTATATTGGTGTATATTTGTTTATTTTGCTATGTTTTACTTAATTTGAAGAGACCCTTGTCCATCAGGCCGAGACAAAGAGGCAGTTACGAAAGCAGCAAAATCATGGAGCTGGACAGGGGACAGATTGGATTTGTCTTCAGTGTAGAAAGGATTGTCACTCTCGAATTGGCCTTCTCAGCCACACTAGATGCTCTTCCAAGTCCTCGATACAGAGCACGATACCATAATCTTTCGAGGCTGAAGGATGCCATCGGATTTATCAGGTGTCAGTTTTAGATCGTCTTTGCTTTTGTTTTTTGTATGTGTTTTTTCCCCTGTTTTTTTCTGATTATTTTAGTTTGATCATATGCTTAATTTAATTTCTGTAACCTGCCCGAAGTAATGTTGCACTTGGGCAATCTATATACTAAATAAATAAATAAATATTATTCTGTAATGCTGTACTTGGTATTGCACAGACATCTTTATGCTGTATATTTTGGATGGGCAAAATCTTATCTGGAAAGATTTTGCTTAATTCAATAAACAATGTGCTTCCAGACTCCCATGTTATCCAAAGTATCCAATGGGTGGGGAATCCTAAAAAAGAAAAACAATTTGCTTCTGGACTGCTACATTTCTAGATGGGTGCAATCTCAAAATGTGGCCATTTTAACAATGGTGATCTTCTTTTACAACACCCTTTCCAGAAAGGGCAGTTGACCGATTCTGTTTAATTCAATTTGCCACTCTGGGCCTTTAACAGAACTGTTTTTGGGGGATGAAAAGGGGTTTCACTACTTTCAGTTATTTATTATTTTCCTATTTTTGTTCATACTATTTTAAAAAAATAATTTTCATTTTGTAGAATTTTGTTTCGGCCTGGTGTGGGCCACCTAAAACATAGACAAGGATATATATAGATTATTTTCCCCACCAGATGAGAAAATTGGGATATATATAAAAATATCTCCCAAATATATATATATTTTCCCAATTTTCTCATCTGGTGGGGGAAATAATTTAAAAACATATCAATTGAATATGAAACAGTACTATACAAATATTTAAAAACATTTCAAGTACAGATAATTTTTTTCAAAAAAAATTCCCCATCTCATTTTTCTGCTGACTTCCTAAAAGCCTCTCTAAAAAATGTTTTCAGATACTGGTAGAAGTAAACAAGGGAAGGAAACAGAGGCATCTCCCAAGGAAGGGGATTCCACAATTGAGGAATGGCTGCAGAAAATGCCCTCTCTTGAGTCCTCAGTGGACATGCATGTGGAAGTGCTGGGACAGAGAGAAGACACTTCCCTGAGTATCCTAATACTTGTTATAGGATAATAGATTTATGTATCTTGGTTAATTAATTGATCAGTATTGCACTGAACCTTTGCTCCTCCTTCTTGCTGATGATGGCCATGGAAATATACCTAAGACAGTACCTTATGTTATTTTTTTTACAATGAGTTCATTGTGCATTTTAGCAAGAAGGCAAGAATGTTAAAAACAATATCTCAGCCTGGTACTATATAGTCAACCCTTAGTGTCCTCTGACACTTGGGCCAAGTCACTCTTCTGTCTGCTTCCTTTATCATGTAAATTCATGAGGAAAGTCAGTGTGAACTGAGGAGCTTGTTGATCCAGCCACATGTCTTCCTGTGGTTATGATACTTTGGAAGAGTTGTTGCCAATGGAATTCACTGCAAGTTGTATTAATGTACCACATAGATCACACTGATATTTTCTTGTGTGATTGCACACTCAAATGTGGTTGAGAAAGCACGTAAAAGAGACTGCTTGGGTAACCAGGCCCTTTAGAGGTGATACCCTTGGGAGAGTTCAGTTCCACCACGGTAAGCCTTAGCTGATAATTAGGAAAGACAGATGGAAAAGAAGCATAAAGAATATGCAATAGAATTGGAAGTAACTTTAAAGAAGGGGAATGGCTAAGTAAGGAATACGATGTCAAGAAAACAAGTGTTAAAATTATGAACCAGGAATGGATGAGTGTTAAACTGAACAGTATAACCAAAACCAAAACAGATAGTCAGTGAACTAGGATGGGAGAAAATGATTTTTCAAAGAGCCAACACCCAAATGTTTAGTGGCATGCGTGGAGAAAATATAGCATTCGTTTTAATGTTCGTAAGTGTTAACAGACAGATTTTGGGCACTGGGATTATTTCATCCCAGCAAATACCTTGAGAAAAGCTGTTTTCCAGGACACTTCATAAGAGACCTGATTGATAGATTGGATCCTCAACTACAGCCTTTCCCTGAGAATTTCCTATGGGAACCATATTTGCATATATCACTCAGGAAATTATTTTACATTTTTGAAATTAATATGATGGATGTTCTTTTTGGAATATTGAGAATGTACCAGAGTCTAAGGACATAGTTTGCAAGTACAGTGGGGTCTTGACTTAAGAACGGCTCGAGTTAAGAACATTTTGACTTAAGAACCACTCTCATAGGAAAATATTGACTTGACTATGAACCAGGAATGGATGAGTGTTAAACTGAACAGTATAACCAAAACCAAAACAGATAGTCAGTGAACTAGGATGGGAGAAAATGATTTTTCAAAGAGCCAACACCCAAATGTTTAGTGGCATGCGTGGAGAAAATATAGCATTCGTTTTAATGTTCGTAAGTGTTAACAGACAGATTTTGGGCACTGGGATTATTTCATCCCAGCAAATACCTTGAGAAAAGCTGTTTTCCAGGACACTTCATAAGAGACCTGATTGATAGATTGGATCCTCAACTACAGCCTTTCCCTGAGAATTTCCTATGGGAACCATATTTGCATATATCACTCAGGAAATTATTTTACATTTTTGAAATTAATATGATGGATGTTCTTTTTGGAATATTGAGAATGTACCAGAGTTTAAGGACATAGTTTGCAAGTAAATGTTGGTGTCCATGCAGCTATTATCGCTTTTTATCTTCCTTTTTAATGTCCTAGAGAGTCAAATTTTAAATATATTTGATAATTAGGAATTATGGCAAACACATTTTTATTTTGTTCATTAGTAAAATTAATCTGGGACCAGAGTTTGGGGAGGGAGCTCATACTTGGTATGTGAAAAAGTCCTCCGCTTCAGTGCCTGGCACCTCAAATACTACATGATGACAACACCTCTGTGTGAAGCTGCTGTTGGTCTAGATGAGAAAATAATCGAACCCAAGATAGTTTTCTGTGTTTCTAGAAAGCATGCAAGGAAGTGTTAAATGGTTTATTGATTTTAAATAAGTTCTGAATTTAAGTTAAATTCAAGAAAAAGATAAATCAGAGGAAAGAAATGTAGGTTCTTTCCCCATAATATATATTTATTATTTTTTATTTATTGATATAATGCTGAAAGCATTTTCACACACATTCTATTTATTCCTTAGAACACATTTTAAGGTACATCAGTGCCCTAGGGCAAGGCTGGCAAAAATATGCTTTGACTTACAGTTCCTTTCCACCCCAGCCGGCATTACTGGCTGCAGGACAGCACTACTGATTGGTGTGGGCCAAGTTGTGTAGAGGGCCAAAGGTTCTCCACCCATTCCTTTGAGAAAGCTGTTTGTTTAACGTTACCCAAAGAGATAATTGCTGGTTCAGATTTCGCTTTGGCTGCTGCCTAGCTCTTTGCTCATGCTTTTAACCACTATATTATTCTAGGTTCTTGTGTAATTTCATGCATCATTATTCTAAGATATGTGCATTTTTGTGATACTTGATCTGAAAGTACTTCTCTGTACATTGGAAAATAAAGGAAATGGGTAAGGTACTGAACAAAAAAAAATAACACAGTAACTAAAGATTAACACTGAACTCCTTTTACATGCAACAGTTCACACACAGGGGAACAAAAACAACGTGAATCCTACAGGCAATGGTTAAAAAAATATTTACTGTCTTGTAATGTTAAAATATTTTATCGAAACAATTGCAGTCAAAAGTAATGTCAGTTACTGAAAATGCAAATACATGGAAGATGAATTTATACAGGTGCAAGTCTAAGTATCTTACAAAAATATTATTTAAATGAATACATAATACAGTAAGCGCACACACTTGATTATGATTAAAGAGACAGGTCTGCATGTTAGTTCTGTATGTAGTTGTAGGTCACATGCAATGAACTCTCACATTAGGACTGTCCCACGTCATTCTCGCTGGGATGGGATATGTATAGTTATGTCAGCACAGCATGGGAGGTTCAGTTAGAGACATTACTTACTGTAATCTGTGCCTGTCGTGGGAGTGGAGTGGCTGTTGGTGTAATAGTGATGCTGCTGGTGATTTTGTTGATAGGTTTATTTTGTGTCCCATTAGTTAATGCTGGAGTTCTGTTATCTTGCAGTGGGGTGCAAGGGCTGATGGTTTTCGTTGCATTCGGAATAGTTTGAACATAAGGGCTCCCTAAATGAATATGTATTTTATTATCCTCAGTAGTTATCACACTAGAACTGGAACTGTTCGATCTTTGAAACTGCCAAGAGGACTGCCGTTCAGGAGATACTCTAAAGACAGCATGCTTGTCGCCGATTTCCAGAGGTTCTGGTGAAAGTAAATGCTCAGGGGAACTTGAAGAGCTTGTCAGAGCGAAAGGGGACATTGTCCTTTCAGGTGTTACAGGTGATTCAGGAGTTTGAGACCTAGCAAAAGCAGCCATAGTAAGAGGCAAGAGGGTTTGCTCAGGACTCAAGTGACCATCAGCTGATTTAGTTTTTACAGGAGTTAAAGATCCATTTTGAATTATGGTTATCCTTTGCTTAGGTGTGCCACAGTTGGGTATCACAGCTGTACTAGTAAAAGAGTGAGAGCTCTCAGTAGTAGGGCTTGTTATTTCAAGGGTGGCTGTGTTTTGTCCATGGTCAGGAGTAACCTTTATATGAAGAGGCTGGCCTGGTGTGTGACTCAGAACTAGGTTTCCAGGCTGAACGCAGTTTCCATTTTGTTTGGCATGGACTTTCCCATTTTGTATATGACCTTCTTTTGATTTCATCCAAGGTATCCAAAGTTTACTATTATTTACTGCATTTGCAACAGAGGAAGTGCATTTGAAGGAGACGGTCTGTTCATCATCATTGTCATCGTCTTCATTATCGCTCTCTTCATATAAATGTCCATTTATGACAGCCCGCTCCAAAGGAACTAAGCTTTTGTAGTCTGGTGGTTCATTATCTAGCGGTTCTGTCTGTACTTCCTTAGAGACAACCTGCAGATCAGAAATTCTCCTTCCATTGAGACTTGGTCTAAGGCTTTTACTGAATCTCCTGTACCTCTCCAATTCTTTAGAAAGGACTTCCATTTCTCTTCCTAATTCTTTGTTTTTATTTTCTTGGTGTGTAAGTTTCTTCTGTAGGATTCTGTGGTCTTCTCGTAGATGACTTATTAAATCCTCTGTTGCCATGTATTCATGAATTTTTTCTTTCAGCGCATCTACTTCTCGTGAAAGATGTCCAGATTTGGCTGCTTCTTCCTTGAGTTTTCGGAATAACCTCTGCTCCTGATTGCATTCCGTTTTTTCTGCTAATTTATACCGAGCCAGTTCTCTTTTCACAACTTCAAGTTCCTCTGAGAGAAATCTGGCTTTTTCTTGTTCGTTAACATATCTACGTTCTAAAGATTCAAATTCATCTTCTGTTTTCATGAGATCATCTTCAATGGCCTTCATTTCTTTAAGTTTGTGTTTGAGTCTCTCAATTTCTTGAGCCAGTTCTTTAATTTTGTTGTTTTCTTGCTGTAAAGATGGGCTAGGTTTTGCTGTTTCCTTAAGTTTGTTTTTAAGAAACTCTTTTTCTATGGCTTCTAGGGACTGAAGCTTTTTCCTTAACAGATTCATCTTGGAGGAGAGATCATTTCCTTTCTCTTCCTCTGCTTTTAGTTTGTTTTTTAGCTCATCTCTTTCTCTTGCAAGAGTGGACATTTTTTCCTCAGCATCAGTCTTAGATTTTAATGCTTTCTTGCTTTCCTCTATCAGTTTTTCTGTGACAGACATCACCTTTTTTTGCTCCAGCTGAAGTTGTGAATTTGAAGCCTGTAGTTTCTCTTCTGTTTGTTTTATTTTTTCATTCATTGTTTTCCTCTCATCTACCAGCATCACTGTCAATGATTTCAATTTAGTCAAATCTTCCTTAAGGGTCAGCTCTGTTTTTTCCAATTTACTTTCAATGGCTTCAAGCTCTCCCATACGAACTTTTAGACCATTTAATTCCTGTGTCAATTGTTTTGTTAACATTTTCTCTTTTTCGAGGTTGGATTTCAACAAGTAGCATTCTTGCTTGCTCTTGCTGAAGGCATCCTCTAGTTTCTCAAGTTCCAAAATTCTCTTGTTGAGCTTATCAACTTCAGCTTTAAAAGCTTTACTCTGTAAGGCTTCCTTTTCTAGCTTCTTATGAAGCTCCCTGCATTGGTCTTCCATTTTTATGAGTTCTTCATCTTTTCCTTCCATCTCAAGCAATCTTTTCCTTAGTTCCTCGACTTCAGACATAATGGAAGCATTCCCACATTCCCCTCTACTTATTTTCTCTCTCAGATCTTGCAGTTCTTCTTCTGCCTTTCGTAAAGACTTATTGGTTTCCTCAAGCTCATCAATTTGTCGACTGAGAGCTGTTAGTTTTAAGCGCAACTGGCGATTCTGGCTCTCTTCATTGGTTAATTTAGCCATGACAACCTCTTGTTCTTGGGAAGCCTTACTGGTTCGAGCTTGAAGTTGTTCTTCTAGCCTGAGAGCTTTCTGCTCCTCTTCCTGAGCTTTTGTTTCTGCAATTGATAGTTTCTCATGTGCTTGTTCTGCAGTGAGGGTTAGGTCCTGGATTTTTTGGCTTTGTAAGCTTAGCTGTTCTGTAAGTCTCTGTTGTTCATCCACGACCATTAAAGCAAAGGATTTGAGTTTTGTCAGCTCTTCCTTCAGTTTGTTTATTTTCTTGTTGTTTTCTTTCTCTTTTTTTGCCTGATATGCAGTTTCTTGTTCAATAATCTTTTTCAACCTGAAAGAAGGGAGAAACACATTTTATTTGTGACAGTATTTCAGATGTTACAAAATAATAACATTATGTAGATCATAAGTAGGGAAATTGTGTACTTTGTTCTAGAAAGCATTTTGATAAATACATTTCTTGAGTGGATCTTGGGCACTTTTGGTAATACTCAGTCAAAATGTTAGAAAGATAAACTTTAACCCCTTTCCTTCTCTTTTCTTTTTAAAACTTTGGTATGGATGGAAATGTCATTTATAAATTGTCTTGGGAAGGAAGTAGAAGGTAGAATACATCCTGTAATTTCATGTTGCTGTTTACCCTTTAATTTGCCATGTCTCATAGACATATTTGTGGTTCTGGCACAAATAAGTCTTAAGACTTACTGCCTTATTTCTTCTAAGTTAGCAAAGATAATATTTTCAGTTCTTTCGGGAGTACTTCTTTCATTTTTCATGCATCAATCCTTTTGTTTTACTCTAAAGGGAAATACTAGTTTTGGTAATTCATTTGGGGTTTCCCTACTGCTGGATAGCTCAGTGGTTTAGTTCGATTCCCTGCTGTGCATCCTTGACAGGAGCTGCAGTTGTAAAATGATGATGATGAGTCTTATGTTCCTTTTTTGGTATTCCAAAGCCCCTATAACTGTTAAAAACTGAGAAGCAGGTCAACGGACAATCAATATGCCATAAAAGCAAATTACACTACAATAGAAAGAAAAGTCATCATTAGTCCTATGCAGGCACTAGTTGTGTGCAGCCCAGTGACACACGGCCACAATCCCAAAGTCTATGCCCATAATCCCTACAGAAGCAAGCTTCTGTAGCAGCCCTAACCAATGAAATCTACCAAAATATGCTCCTTTAATGGAATAAATACATAGTAAATTAAGAAAACATTTTTTAAAAAATCAGACAGAGAGGAACTCCCCCTGGGGTGGGAGCAGAATAGCAGCAGCAGCAGCAACAGTAAACATACACACATAGTCGTCTCCCAAAAACCAAGAAAAGGAACCAATCAAAATCTTCCCACAACAAGAACTGCTAGAATATGGGAAGATTTCTCTTGATGACTTCTTTTTATTTCTTTGGGTCCTGCAGGCTGAAGCAGGCATGCCAGGCAGCAGCAAATATAATCAAAAGAAATGGGGGGGAGGGGGCCCCTCCAAATCAAGGGGAAAAGGGAAAGGACCCGAGATGGAAGCTCAGCAGGCCATATGCAGGCTGGCCAGCCACAGTCCATGATGAAGGAGGGCAGGAGAAGCTCAACACAGTAATTCTACAAGAAGGAATCGACTAGGGAAGGAACACTCCTCACTGGCTTTCAGACCCTTTACAGATTCCAAATTCCTGTTACCTCCTCCTGTCTGCTGACAGTCTTCTCTGTGATGCTACCAGATGAAATTTTTCTCATGTGATTTAATATACAAAGGGTAAAAGAAAGGTTACATGGGAAGTGGAACATGTTAAATTGGATATTTTGTGCACCCCTCCTTGATAAACACAAATAATTCATGTTTAAGAGTGTCTCTTTCATCAATCTACAAAAGAACACAAAAGATTTAAAAAAGAGCCTCTTTCATGTTTGGTTTTTTTTTGTTTAAACACAAAAGGCCCATTCCTATTCTGTACCTGGAAAATCCTGTAAAGGTTTATGATTCACATAGCTGAATTCTTGTGGAAAATGAGTAGTGGCTACATGGGGAAATGCTTATCTCCTGCACAGCTGGCTGAGGGACGTCATCTGAATATAGGATGGGTTTAGATTGAGATCAAAGGGGGAACCATCTGCTGTTAAATTTAAAATGCTCCAATGCTGGTGAAGAATAGCACTCTGTGTGTGCTCAGAAACTTTTCTGTGTCTATTCTTGGGTCCTCCAAATACATCAATTAGCCCATTGACCTGTTCTTTATAATGGAAACTGTTCCCATTTATTGGAATTGGCTTAGTCTAAAAAGATTTTATTTTCTGTAATTTGGCATTTTTTTAAATATTCTTAATAAAATATATATTTTATACCTCTGTGTGCTTTTTAAAAGTGTGGTTGGGAACGATGGGTTCTTAAGTCAACTTAGCCCCTTGAAGTTGCTACTTATAGATTTTCAGAATTTTTGCTATTTGAGACACAGCCTTTGTCTTCTCTGCATGGCTGGTATCGGTTGTGGAAGAAGGGGAATCATTAATCTTGCTGATCCCAGGGCATGGTTGGCAACTGCTGGTTGACTCAGGCTTCCAGGACTTGGCAGGTCTGGCCGAGTTTCTTCAGGGCTTTGGAGGAACCTGGGGCAAGCAGGTGCATGTGCACACAGGGAAACCTCTTGGAGGCAACTGCCATTTTGCTGAGGTACAGGAGCAGTTATGAAGAAGGCCTTCTCTGGTGTCCTTATCATATATGCCTGGATGTGGCATGACGAAGGCAAGGCATTTTCTTAAGAGTCTAGGCAGGTTCATATGGGAGAACAGAGTCTTTCGGATAGCTTAAATTGAAGTTATACATAGCTTTAGGTTATAACCAGTATTTTGAGTTGTGCCCGGAAACAGTCTGTACTGGCAGTCTTATATTACCAAAGAAGAAGCTATAGTAGTCTGTTCAAAACAACACAGAAAGGAGTCTTACTTATTTTGTTTTCACTGTGTTTCCATAATGTTTTATAAGCTTCTTTAAGGGCTTTCTAGAGACAAAGGTTGAATAAAAACTATGCCCAGGTTTTGTAAAGTAGTGTAAGGTGCCCACTAATATGGATAGTGTAGTAGCTGTAATGTTATATTAGGTCTCAGGAGGGCACGAGGAGCTCAACACACTTAGGATTTTAAACTCACTGGGCTAATCACACATTCAACACTCTAGCTTACCTCACAGAGATGTGAAATTGAAGTGGGGAGAAAGAAAATTGTTTTACTGACTTGAGCTGCTTGGAGGAAGGGCAGGATATAGAAATTAAATAAATAATCCCCAGACTCTTGTTATGCCAATGTTAGGGATAGACCAGTGGTTATAGCAGTAGAAGAATATTCATTTTATGGGGACAAATACGTAAGCAGAATTCTGTTGTACTACTAGCATTCCTAGTTTGTATCAATTGTACAGCATAAAAGTAATATGGTCAAATAAGCTTTTCTTTAAACAGTTTTTGTTATGTACCTTCAAATTGGAACTGACTTACAGCCACTCTAATAAGGCTTTCAAGGTAAGTGAGATATTAAAGGAGTGTTTTTTTACCTGTTCCATGCCCCCAGTGAGTTTTCATGGCTGAGAGGGGATTTGAACCGAGTCCTCCTGAGTCCTCCTCTGTCAGTCTATTCATTACACCACAGTGAGTAAACAGTTCTTTGCTTTAAATCAAGCGAACGTCTTGATTTATGTGGTTGGAGCAAAGTGGCCAAGCTCCTCTTGCACACTCCACATATGATGAGTTTATCACATTAGTATATCATACAGTACTTTAAAACAGCAGATGAAATGTGCAGAATAAGGAAGAAATACTATAGAGAAAAGCACTGCAATAAAGTGTATAAAGACAAAATTATCTGAGAAGTAGGTGTTTAGAGCTAGTGGAAAAACTACTAGGTATAAAAAGATGCTTTCATTAATAAACAGTATTTCCTCTTTTCTTTAATGAAACCTCATGATCTCTATGCTTCCTCTGAGTCTTTGCCACGAGGTTAATTTTAACTATTGCCATAGCTACACAAACAAAATACTTCTGTCAGTTTCACTCAGCTTTGGAGAATTCACATCATTAGGCTTAAAATAACACTCTATTGTAGAACGCTTCTTCTTAAATGAACACTGGCATGACAAAGCTCCAAAAATACCGTATATCACAAAATTTTAGTCGCCTCTGGGATGTGACAGTCATACATTGGTTTAATAGGCCGAAATATTTATCTAATAATCTTTCTTTACTTCTCTTCAGTTGGCTACAGAATCTTATTTTTTTTCCTGTGCAGTATTTTGGACAATTATAGTGTTGGTTAGGTAATGATTCATTTTGTAAATTTAATGACTATTATATGAATATTTCTGCAGATATGTTATGTGTAATTTATTGTGCCTATTTTGTATATTCATGCTTCTTTGCAGCATTGCTTCCCAAAGCTATGAGTAGTTGCCAGCATGTAAACCATCTGTGTGTTTTGAAACATACTTACGTTAATTGCACTACAGTAGGCCCAATGAGTCAGTGGGATTTGGTGAGTCAACTCCTCCATAAGTTTCATTAATTCAAATGTCCTACTCGTGTTGAGATATACTTTACCATAGTAAGTTGCAGTTAGAGTAGGCCTGTTTGAATCAGATGAATTTATGGCAGAATTGACTCACTTAATTTCCACTGCTTCAGTAGGTTTACTCTAATGCATTTGCTACATCAAACAACAGACTTTTGGCCGTCACCTTTCCGTATTTTTCTAAAGACTGCATAAGATGATATTTACGGTGGTAGGAGCAAACTGACCAGGGTCCTCCTGCACAGCCCAGCTATGATCAATAAACCACACCTGAATATTCACAGGTGTTGAGTTTTTAAAGAAGAATTCATCATGTACAGATGTAGATAGATTGTAATGATGCTTCAGCTGGTACATTGTTGCTAGTCCCAACTACAATAAGCTCACTGACTCAATGGGATTCCCATAATTATTGACTTGCCATTCAGCAATCGATTTAGTGGGGCTACTCTGGCTGGAACTGCCAACAGAATAGTAGTCTTCCAGTTTTATCCGTTAACTCAGGTGACCCAAACTCGTCAGTACACACAAAACAACTTTTCTGTTCTCTTAGATAATAAGTTCTGAAACTGGGGTTCCCAGATGTTCCTGGACTGTAATTCCCAAAAGCCTTCACCACTTGCAGTGCTGGCCAGGATTTCTGGAAGCTGCAGTCCAAGAACATCTGGGGACCAAAGTTTGAGAACCACTGTAGATGACTAGGGAAATATAAACCATATGATCTCTGGGAATACAGAGAGGTTTTACCTTAACTACACTGCATTAAACTCCTTGCATTTATT